ATTTTCTATTATTAAAAAAAAAAAAAAAAAAAAAAAAAAGAAAAAAGAGAAAAAGAAAATGTTACGAAAGGATTCGAAAGATCGTCCTCGGGCGACTCGACCAGCTTCTTCTTCTTCTTCTTCTTCTTCTTCTTCTTCTTCTTCGGGGTTCGGGATTTCGACGAGCAATGTCGTCTAAACTGAAAAGGTATCGGCTACTTCGTTTTACAAACCGGAATTTTCAGGTATGGAACACTAAACATCGAGAAGGGAACAACTCGTTCTTTTTAGATTATCTTGTTTATATGTATATATACGCATATATTTATATATGTTTATCACTGTCTTCCATTTTCTGTTTTATCAAATGTGAACACAAACTGTGCACGGAGAAAAATATTATAAGCAATAAATCATCGATTTATTTGTACATCAATATTTCGGTGAATCATCGACTTTATTTTTGTATTAATTTATTCGTTTGGAAAAATTAATCGAAGAACATTTTTTTTTAAATATAATAATATAAAATATTTTCCTCCGCGCGGTCAACGATTTTTATTATTGCACTGGAGAAAACGGGTGTATTGCTCAATATACTATTTTTTACATTTTTATATATTTTTTATTTCTTTAAGAAAAATAGTCCATTGCATCTGAACTTTATTTACTGTATTGCTTTTTCATTTATTCGTAAGATCATTGAATAGGATCGATGAAATTCGGCTCGTTTTGCGAGACTAACCGAGCAGAGTCCGTATTTCTCGGAGTGCTACACCATGTTCAATGTCGACGTTGTTAATAATCCTGGACGGGTAATGGATATATTTAATAACTTGTCAGCTCCTAATATCCAATTCTGTTTATTATATCATATTTTAAACAACAGAGATTCAGTGTCTTTTAATTTACTATTTTTCAAATTGCTAATGTATTAGATTGTAAATATTGTAAATTGAATATAGTACTGGATCTCTGTACATGATAGTGGACCGTAGAAAATGTTTGAAACCAATGTTGAAATCAAGTGTTCGGTGTAATTCCAAATCAATGTGATTGGCACCGTGATCTAACTTAAACCACCCGGATGTCCACCTCTGTCTCCGGTAGCCTGGTTTCCGGGCATCCTGTTCCTCTCGCGTAGCTGGCGTCGTTATGTGTTGCATCGCCAATAAAGTACTGTGTCGTATTTCCCCGTGATTCTCTGTGAATCTTCTTGAAAGCATAACGTTCCCTCGATTCTCGTCATTCGCCATTTTAGATGATTTTTAATTTAACTAATACTCCGCTATGAATGAGATCTTTCACTACTTTATTATACAGAAAATGTTAATATTTCGCAAATGCTTGACAACTTTTATATTATTTATGTCTTATAAATAGATTCAATATTTAAATTTTTCCAGAGGCAATTAAACACTGAAAATGTCACTGACAAATGCAATTTGAATCCCTGCCATCGACAATTTTATTTTATTGTTATCTGTTATTCATATTTGATATCTTCGAAATATGTTAGATCGTCGAGGAACGTTATGTTTCCAATGAAAAAAAAAAAAAATGAATGTTTCCGACGTTCGTATGGCATGCGTTGACGGTTGCGCGTGAATCTGAGAAACGGAAGTCTAACGTTGCTTTTCTCTAGCTTGGTATGATTACGGACTGACCCAATACCAATCGGAGCGACAGAACACAGAGCTCGAGAAAGTTTTCGACGAAAGACACCATAACATCTCTCAAGGCATCGAGATCGCCACGGAACACCTTGGACAGAAAGTTTTCAAGGAACCAGAGACAGAATGGCAAAAGTCTGTGAAGAGCAAAAAGAACGAGGATTATTACAACAAGCTCATGACTCTGGAGGAAGAACAGGTGCTGAAGGAGAGTAGGCTGAGAGAATCTAGCCATCAATTTGCTATTCCTGGTGAAAAAGTTGTCTCTCATTCTGTGGCGAAGGGAATGGCCCAGCAATATGAGGAAACCTTGTGAGTACCAATTCCATTTTCACTTTATTTGTCATTATCATATAATGCAATTAAAATTCATTATATCAGTAGTCAGCTTCGTTCTTATTCGTTAGTTTTATCCTCCGTGTCATTCATATGAGAGAAACTAAGTTGCATTATATGAGCAGTAAGTTTCGCTATGTTTGGGGCTAAATTTCTTTATTCTTCTTCTTTATTCGTGTTATAAACAAATTTTTATATGTCATGAATGCAGCATTAAAGTTATTAATTTTGCACCTATTTAATCATAGCAACTTGAACATTTGACATCGTTGACGTTCCTTATGAATTCTACAACCTTACAGAATCATATTTTCTATCTAAAACTATACTTCTCAATCTCTCAAAGAACACTTTAATATCCACTTAAGAGTCTCAACTACAGATTAAAGATCTAATCATCTGATACGAGAATTAAACGCGTGGAATGACGATTTTTCAGGGAAGACAAAAAGGAGGAAAGAATCGAAGACACCACCACACAGACAACTACCAAATTCGTGAAGAAACCACATACAACGGAGGTGGACATCGACGTGGAGCGCATGAAATCCACTGGCAAGTATCCTCCAGAACCATCAGAATCTACGGTTCACGGTCGTGAAGTGCACGTGGCCAAGCAGAAGCAAATACAGAAAGAGGTCAAAGGAGACTTGGAGATCACCAGAAAGATAACCGCCACGGAAACCACCGAAGTGGAGCACAAAGCCAAGACCCAGGAGCGTGTTGTTCAAGGTCCAACAAAACCAGCCACGCCACCAGTCTTCACGAAGAAGATTCAACCTTGCAGAGCTTTCGAGCAAGAGCAAGCTCGATTCGAAGTGGAATTCGACGGTGATCCATTGCCAACCATCAAATGGTACCGCGAAGATTTCCCCATTCAGAATTCTTCGGATCTTCAGATTTATACGTTCAGCACGAAATCGGTGCTGATCGTTCGACAAGTATTCATGGAAGATTCTGGTGTGTTCTCTGTCATCGCTGAGAATCGTGGCGGAAAAGCGAAATGCAGCGCCAATCTGGTAGTCGAAGAACGAAGAAGACAACCTGGTAGAGGAGGAGTGATACCACCTAGTTTCCTGTCTACCATTCAGAATACCTCGGTCACTACTGGTCAACTGGCCAGATTCGACGCCAAAGTGACTGGAACCAAGCCTTTGGATGTTTATTGGTTGAAGGTACTTGACTCTTTTCTTAGTAATTTTTCTTCCGTGTGATATTTGGACGAAAGAGTAGCATCGTAGTATTAGTTATTCTACAATTTGTAAATGCGAACCCGGATCATCGAGTATAGTTACCGATATGCCGTTAGAATCATAATTCATGTAGATTAATAATAATTTTGCAAAATCCAGTATCCGAAGAATTAATTTTAGAAAAGATGTATAAGTCATATGTAAGTTTGGATTACAATTTATAAGTCACTATTCCTAATTTATACACGTAAGTGTCTACTTGTACTTTATTCCCTGTTAGAATATTTTATGAAAATGATTCTCCAAAAATTAAACAAAAGATCAAAGAATATACTTTCTTCCTGGTATAGGCGATTAAATTTAATTGAGAAATAAGTTTAACCGTTCATGTTCGTGTGTCGTTACAGAATGGCAAGAAAGTGACGGCAGATATTCGTTACAAGACACTCGAGGAAGATAATACTTACACCTTGCTGATTTTGGAGACAGTGCCAGAAGATTCAGGCAAATATGAGTGCGTGGCGATAAACAGTGCCGGAGAGGCACGTTGCGACGCTGAATGTACAGTTCGTGGACCTCAATCGCCCGCCAAGACGGCGAAACCGACGACGCCTGGCGTCGAAAAGGCGCCCACGGTTTTGGAGCCATTGAGAGATCAAACTATCAGAGAGGGAACATCCGTCGCCTTTGCCTGCAGGATCACCGGAAAACCGGTGCCCACGGTACAATGGAAAAAAGGCGACAAGGTACGAATAATACTTGAAACAACATCGATACCGTAGGATTTTTTATTTATCGATAGATCTACTTACAATGGATTAAACAGGAAACGATGGTTATTTAACGTGAACTAAATACAGTTGAGATGCGGTATAAGTCGTGATAGGTATTGCTGGTGTATGAGATTTTGTCTTCATCCGGGTTGCCTTCTTCTTCTTCTCAGCTAGGAATTGTGTAGAAAACCGGACTGTGAGTGTCTGGATTCGAACCTGATCTTGAACGTTCGTAACCAACTGCGCTGACCACAGCTCTGCCGTCGTTCGGTCGAGGATAGGGTCTTTGGGTGGCAAGCCACGGGACAGAACCCGTTGGAAAGTTTGCTGCCGAGTGCAGCTACACAGTAATGTGCTATAACTAAGGCAACTAAATCGTTGATTCACTACTCTCGTTACCGCGGTTCCAATGCTCTTATGGCGGATCGGTACCAACAGGACGCCGACAGGTCGAGGCATCAACGCGGTCGTAACACCTCCCGGGTGATCCGGGTACCAACCGCCAACACCAGATGCCTACTACGACGACAACGAGTCTGTCTGTCTCGCTAGCGGTCGAATATACGGTGTCACGATACAAATACCGCCCTAGCGAGACTCCCTCTACGTCTAAGGCAGGGACTACCGGGTATTAGCTTTACTGAGGAGTCCACCGGTAGTCCTGGAACGAAACGCGCATTCTCTTTTCACCTGGCAGAGACTCGATTACCACCAAACTCTCTTTCACGCGAACCATCCTCCTCGACAAAGCTGACAACACTGACTTCTCAACTCGCGACCGCCTGTTAATTCATCTTTCTCCCTTAAGCATCCCTTTGTCTTTTCTCATAGTTTCACTACGTACGTGTTCTGCAACCATCCGTGACCATGGTCACATAGGCCTTTTTTCTGCGGAACTATTCGATTGAAGGACCAACGACACATTGATGGGCCGTTCGGTCCATCGAAGTTTCCAGACTCTTTTGGCCTGTCATCACTTAGGCTTTCTCGCGATATTGTTTATGGTTCACCCGATATTTCTTAGGCAATTTGTCCACGATACTATAATAATACGAATTTTTTAAATTATTCGTTATATCATAGATCTTTTCAAAATTGTTGTTCTCTCACTGCAATATCGTAATCGTAGAGGTAGAGAATGCTGACAATGAGGCGTTGCTCAAGTTACTTCAATTTAATTTTCTATCCCATAGAACACAGCATTTAGGATGACGCGTTAATCCATTCAAAAGTCATATTGATCGTTTGTATAAATTACAAAATAGGGAGGCTAAATTTAGATCCTAGAATTTACGATTAATTATACAATCTTCTTACGATGAATCGGATAGAAGTAAATCATTTGTTTTTTCCTAAGGTGAATGGTAATTATACCTCTAGGCAATATGATCGTGAAATTTATAGAGTCGATTTGGTTTCTAAGAAACTCGTTTTATTCCTCTTCGTTGCTGTTCAGTTTCAAACTTAAAGAAAATCATATAATTTTTTATTTTTTATTTAAAATTTACAAGAGATAGGAAGGTTCGTGTTCTTTAAACGAAATTTATTTGTCATCGTAGGTCATCAAGCCATCCAAGTACTTCCAAATGCAGAAGGAAGGTGACCTCTGTACCCTGAGGATCTCTGAAGCTTTCCCCGAAGATGAGGGCGTCTATAAATGCATCGCCAAGAATCCAGCTGGTGATGTAACTACTTCGGCCAATCTCAGAGTTCTTGGTGAGAATCATCATTTTTCATCAGCCTACAATTTCACTAAAACTCCACTATATCTTCTGACCGAAATGATTAATATTGAACGTTTTCGTTTAGCACCCGACGCAGCTGATGTTCTCCCCAAACTGACGCCACTGAAAGATCAAACAGTTCTAGAAGGACAACCGGCACAGTTCAAGACTCAAGTTACTCCAGCTAAACCAAAGCCAACGATTCAATGGTATCGCGAAGGTGCCCTAATCCCTCAGTCACCTGACTTCCAGGTAAGTCGTGTTCAAAAGTTTATCTAATTCTCCATAACACCATAAAATTTGTATTTATCTAGAATTTGTTAATTTATCAAATAATCATCTATGTTACATTATTTATCAATGTTCTATCGTGTCTTTTTAATTATCTTTGTTTTATGCTAAATTATATCTCTTTTAATCAAAAGTACAGAAACATTCCAAACGCTATAGAATAAATGAGAAAATATTATTGTTTTTCTTAAAATTACGGTTGTACGATATGGGAGAAAAAATTGCACGATAGTAATTTTTATAGATAGACAATATATTTACAATACGATAGAATCTTTTATAACGTAAAATTAATTAACTTGGTGAAATTCGGTTTGGGTGAATCTGTGGTTAGCTATTTATCTATGAAGATTAGAAATCTTCTATCAGCTTTATCTAATTGGATTAATGAGAAATAAAAATGTCTGAATTCCAGATGATTCACGAAGGCAATAACGCCGTGCTGCTGATAGCGACCACCTACGAAGAAGACACTGGCACCTTCACCTGCCGAGCTACCACATCAGCCGGCACCGTAGAAACCTCCGCCAAACTCATCGTCAAAAGTAAGAACTGAATAAAAGATACAAATTCAATTGCTAACACGAAACGCGATTGAATCGACGGGATAAGCCTCTAGGGTGTTACGAAGGAACCCGTGTACGTTTGAAACAATTTCTTACGCGTATAGAAGAAAGTATTTAAAAAATATTCAAAAGAGAAAAGCATCGTATCACTCCGATGAGTTTAATTTCAAAATGTTCTATTATATTTAATAAGAAAAAAAAGAGAATAAAAAATCAATGGATCGAACGAATTAACAAATATATAAATATTCATTTACATTAACCATGTAACAAGATAATATAGAAAATTGTCTCAGAGGCACGCATTCCTTCGTTGAACGCGAACCATCGAGGACACCCGTGCGTATTTTTTCCGCTTTTTTGTTGTTCTTCTCTCTAAAAAGAAAAAAAGAAAAAAAAGAAGAAACCCTAACCCATCAAGCGAACCGTTACCAATGTTCAACCCTTTGTCCCCGACCCCGTAATCAAAGTCACGAGCGAGCCCGGGGAGTTTTTGTACTAACTCGTCGTGTTTTTTTGTTTTTTTCTTTTTTTTCCAAAAAAAAAAATAAATAAAAGAATAAAAAAAAGTAAGAATATAGTAGACGAGCGAGTGAAACGAGGAAAGTGATATGATTTGCGGAGACGTTAGAAAGGAAAGAAAAATATATATAAAAGGTAAACGATTCTATATTATCAAGAATGAAAGATAACGTAGGATTTAATGGTAAACGCGCGAAGATAAAAGAAACGAATGAAAATTGATTAATAGAAAATTGCAGAGAATCAAAGATGAGAAATGTCGCGAAGGTGGTGCTGAAAATGAACGAAGTATTAACGGCAGAAACGTGGAAATGTTTTGTAGAATTGAACTCGTATAAGGTGAAAAACGAATCGGAGATTCGACCGACAAGACGAGCGTAGCCGATTTTTCCATCTGAGAGGTGCGATTCGCGAGCGAGACACGTCTACGAGCGTCTTATCAGCGTCGAATACGATGAATTTCATACGAGAGAACAAAGATTTGCCGAGGTGGTGCTTCGGATCGATCAGATCGAATTTTGAGAACGAACTGTTGCGATTCTCTTTTGGTTCCGCGTTGTATATAAAGCTGGATCGCGGGGAAGTCGAACGATATCGTGCGATAAATTGTTCGTGCCTCGTGTGAAAACATGCGAGAGGTCACGTAATGGGTAAGGAATGTGATGAAAAGAGAAATATTTCTTTGGTAAACAATGTCGGTATTACGAACACGTAACTCGTTTACTCGTTCGATTTAGTGTCGATGTTCATTATTAAACTTTAAAAAGAAAAATATATATTATATCATAAAGAATATATATAATATATACGCATAAGTGTAATTACCCACACGATACATTACATACGTTAGGAATGATTTATCAATTAGCCAACACCGACGTGAATCAAGTTTATTTAGTTACACGTAAATGATTTTTCCTTTAACATTCTACTAATCGAATTATTTATTATTGTACAATGGAAAGGCCAATAAAAACGAATGTTTTAAATACGCACAAGCCTCGTTTGTTGCCGAATCGATCATCTATCGTTGCACACGGACACATCGTTGCTATGATCGGTCGATTCTAAACTTTCTCAACGCTGATATTGTACACGGCATCTCGAAATTCATCGTTAAACGTATAAAATCTCATAATCGTATAAAATAACATACGTTGATCGATAGTATATTACAAGGCAAAAAGTATCTGATATTCATCGATATAAAAAATTACCAAATATTTGTTAAAATAGTGGAAAATATAAAATACAAAAATAGGATCCAAAATTCTATGTGACACGGAAAAAGATCTAAGGAATTTACACGCTAGAAATCCTAGAATAATCGAATTTTTCCACATACCAACTGTAACGAAACATCACGCGAGAACGCGAAGCGCGTAAAATACTTTCAAAGAATTGGCCAAATGTCCAAAAACACTGAAAATACTTTGAAGGAACTGGGAGCAAAATCGATGCACCCTAAGTCTCAAATTTAGACCAATCGAGAAGTTAGAATTAGAGGAATTTCCCATGAAACGCCTCGAAATAAAAGAAAAATCTCCCATGGAGGATCGTCGACCGGAATCCATCGAATGGCAGACGAATATAGACCCGCGAATGTAAATTGACTTTTGCACTCCGCAACGTAATTGCCAGCACGTTCCTCGAGCCATAAATTCGTCTGCGTTTTGCTTACGAAACTCTGTATCAACTGGTTGAATAGGCAAACGCGTGAATCACGGCTCGTAAAACAATTCGCCATGCCGAAAATAATATGAAACGTGAATTTTTGAGCCGAGGGAGGGAATTTGAGAGAACCAAATGAACAGAAATAGCTGGACGTTCTTAATCAGCGTGACGATCGATCGGACAATGAGTCGCGAGCCGGTTAACGAGCGATTCCACGCCGCAACACTTGGCAGATTTATCGCGGCTAAAATAACGGCAAGAAAACTCGGACGAAGTGTTTGCTACTTTGCTCGAAAGCCGAGTCCAGATGCACGGCTATATTTGACGACGAAACGAAAGCAAAACGTGTATCGGTCGTTCTGTGGTGGTAGAAACGTCCGAGTAACGGAGTTTTGGCTGTTCCGTGATTTCTTGGAAGTTTTAGGTTGTCTAGAATTAGAAATATATTCGTGATATATGTAGCGAACGTGTAGACGTAAATGAATATAATTAAAATGATAGAACGAAAATATACATTTATACAAGTTTTCGTTATATTCGAAAAGAAGGAGCATTTTTATTCAGATAAAATATAAAAATGTTAAAGCGATTTGTTGAAATCTTTTATGCTTTTTCTATGACAAAATGGCTAAGAGCTCTTTCATTATTGTTTTATGTGTTAGAGGTAAAGCACGTCGCTATACGACGTTATATTTTATGTTTAATTTAAATGAAAATGGACCGTTTTACAACGTGAACGAAAACTTTTATTGAATGATTTATGTATATACTTGTATGCTATTATGATTTTATCTCGATAAAAATCATTTTTATTTCGACGAAAGCATTTTCACGTTTAGTAAAAATAAAAAGATATTCGTTAATTTAATAACGAGTAGTTCTATTATTGAAATTATATTCAATTGGCAATTTCAAATGTTGTATCTACGTCTATCACATTCGTGAATACGATATACTACATTGATTTATTATAGTTCTTTAAGTAACGCCGCTGACGCAACTGTTGCATCTCTTTTTTAGTTTTACTATGTTTCTTTAAACTCGATTCCGCATTGACAGCCTAGACTCTGAAAACTGCGATTAAAGTCTGCTTGACTCTATCGAAGAAAACATAATATATTTATCTAAATGATCGATTATTTTAGTAGGAAATTAACGAAAATAAATTTCATATCATAATATACTTCGACAATTGAAACTCTGACTCCAACCAGAAACATAAGATCACATTCCTAAGTAACTATCAAACCTATGTATCTTCCTGCTACAAAATTAATCATAACGTACATCTTTCGTGTATCTTACATACCATTGTATCAAAATTTGCACGCGTTGTAAAACAAAGAACACGAACCAATTGGCGTCATCGATTGCGACAGACTGACAACCCGATTTTATGCAATATTAACGCTACAACTATCAACTGGGTTACGAAACTTGCACTAAGAATCTCAAAATGATAGATTTTACGAAAAAGCTGAAAATACACGAAAACGAACAATTCTTCATCCACGTACGTTACAAAAGGAATCAATGGAATCTCTGTTATTTCATGACACGGAATTCCTCTGGACAAATCTTTCGTCCAAATCTCCAAGAACGTTGGAGATCTCATTGTAATGTTCATTGGAGAAAGAACATCTCATTGTAAAATCTATAAAATCAGAAAATCGTTCGAATCCGTTATTTTAGCTCGTAGAATCTCTCTGAAAGATCATCGATTGCTCGTTTCTACCATTTTGCTAGCTGCAGCGTTATAAAATCGAGCAACGTATTCGGTGAAAGAGCTGAGGATTCGGTTTTGAAAAATCACGAGTCCCCGACTACTCGCAGTCAGCAGGAGTCGCGCGCGGCCGCTCGTTGACACGAGGATTTCCACACGTACGCTTATACTCGTCTTTTACGATCCGTGTTTCTGTTCCCTTGGTATCACCTTTCTCTCTGGTAACTGGTTTAACGAGCGTGAAGAGGTAAACGTATTTTCTTCATCGCTTCTGGTAGTCCGGCTCGTTTCAAAACGAGGGACGACGCTACCACAGTGAACAGTGCCGTGTGCACACTCGGCTAGGCCCTCTTCTTAGGCTATTTCTGACCACGTGACGTGTATTACATTACCCGGCTATATTTGGTCGCCGGTGAAGAACTCCCCGAACATACGGCAAAATTCACGTGGGGTCTAGAATCCGCCGGTCGTACACTGGTATCCACATCGCACGTTTTATTCGCGAACAAAAGAAAATTTTATTTTTCCACACCCCCGCGTTTATTAACGGACTCGTCTTCGACCGTTTACTTTGAAAATATGTTACGTGGTCGGTGACAAACTTTCGTGGCAGAAGTTTAACTTTAGTTCGTGGCACTGCACTTTATTTATCGACCTTTCAACACGTTCGCCGTGAGCCTCGATCTCTGTCGATCCGTTGCTTTCCGATACAACATCGTATTACAAATGTCACTGAGAATTCCAAATTGGAAATATTGTCATTTTTGCGAAACTTTTACAATTACGCGAGGTTCAAAATATGGAATGTCCGCTTTTAATGAGTTTACGGTTATGGAGATATAGAGATAGTTATGTTCACGGCAACTGCGATGTTTGTATTGAATTATTCGATATTTCTCGATATTTAATTGCGAGATATATAGTTTGTGTTAAATTTATTGAAATCTCCTCTTCTATCGGTGAAAGGTATTAAAACGTTAAATTTTTTTATTATTTGTCCAATAAGACCGTTCCGAGACACTGCTTGCTTCTTCGTATGTTTCATATGCAATTAGGTTAACGAGTCGAAATCCAATCGGAGGCGAACGTGTAACATTCGAGAATTGTTTGAAAGAAGGTCGAGGAGAAGTAACATATTCAAAGGATCCAACTGTGTAGAAGATAATTTATCAGGGAAATGGATATCGAGGAGTGGTTATAATTTATTAAATATCTAATTCGCTGCTACAATAACATACAAGGATATAAGATTTCTCTAAACAATCGTATATCTTGCGAAAACATACTACGATTGTGAAAACTTTCCAGTTACAACGTAATCTTAATAAATTGGCGAGGCAATAAATTTCCCACAATTTCAAGTTTCTCCCAAAAAAGAAATTCCATTCCGAAGAAATATATATCGTTTCATTAATAAACGAATGAAAATACACTTTAGTCGGAAATGTTTGACATCCACCGTGTATCTAATACAATTAAGCAAACGCAACAAAACAATACAGAACTTCATTATACTCTCAATACGATTCAGACCAGAGAATTCTTTTTATATCGTAAAATCTCAACGATTTCCGGCAATTATCATAATGCTGCGAACAATCATCCCCCCATTAAATCCTTCGAATTACGCTTAAAAAGTAGAACGAACCCGTAACTTGAGCATCAGCGTGACTCGAAACAAAAGAGTTTTTCCGGCGTTCCGATGCGTGCGTAGCGTAGCGCTCGATGCTTGGCGTATGGAACGGCGAGGTTCTCGCGTTCTCCAGCCGTTCTCCAGCGCGTCTCGGCTCTCGCGAGAGGAATCATCGTCGCGTTACTTGACCGGTCTCCGCTCGACACCGTTACGATCCGGCGACCTGACGCAAAATTAGACCGTGAATCCGGCCTGTTCGTCGTACCAGCCGTTTGATTAATCGCGAGGACGGTACTTGGTCCGAGACGGGTCATCGTAATTAAACGATGCGTTACGTTCGCCAACGTGTGGCTGGTGAAATACGGCGGGTCGTAACGTTTTCATCGATCAAACGATATCGCGTGTCTCGAAAACTTTAATTGGTAGCTTGGAGACAATGTAACGACCACGACGTGCAAACGTTGATCGCAAAGAGAAAGGACGTACGAAAAGCAAAGCTGGCACGTTAACGTCGACCATAAATAAGGTTCGCGTTAGATTCGAGCTAGCTGGGTAAGGAGCAAGAAAATTTATTACCGTACCGTGCACGGATTTATTTCAAGCGTGTGTACGATCCTCCTATGAGATCAGAGCTATTAAACCGCTTTGCGACAGGTAATTACGGACCCCTGCTGTGTCCTAATGAATTCGAGATGCCGAAATAACGCGTGTCCGCTCGACAACGAGAAAATAAGAACGATGATCGTGTAACGATTGTAACATTCGTCCCTGCAGCACCCTGTTTTCACATACTCTTTTATCCCGTTTCTTTGCCTATATATATATAAACCCATCGATACGCTATACCAGGCAACTGTATATCCCATTAATAAAAACGAATCCGAACGGAATATAAATCTAAATTGTCGTAGAATATAATTCTGTCGATCTACTCCGGACAAGCTCAAACTTACCATACGATGTCGAAACGTATCGCTTTATCCGCCTAACGTTTACTTCCAACAAGTTCAAACTTACGACAGAAAATATGGAAAAATATCATTTTACTTGAAACGAGTTCGAACCTATCGCGTCAGAAAGTTAGCAGAAAAAGATTCTCGGAATAAATAACAGGAGACCATGGTTTCTTACGAAAACGAAAATCAGTGGGCTGTACAGTATCCCGCTATAGTGTTCCAGGCTTGAAAAAACAAATTCCATTCCCGTTTACATCAAACATCCCCAAAGCACGCGTCGTATCGACGATCCACGACCGAAGGCGATCCTTCTGGAAGAGGAGACGTATTCGTGCGCACGAAGCTTCAGCTTCTCGTTCGCCTGACAACGACCTTGAATCGGCGACCACCTGAAGCATCAAGAAGACAACTGCCAACGGCTAGTCTACACGGGACGCGGAAAAAAGAGCGCGCGCTGATTCATCGATGCGTGCGCGTTCGGCTCTTCTTTTCCGTGGCCTCACACCTCTTCGCGTTCACGCTGCCCCCAGCTGCCATTTCTCGTCGGTTCGTCGACGGTTGTCCGCCGTGCCAGGCTTTAAAGGAGGGAGACGAAGCCTGACTATTTCGGCCAACCCAGCTGCCCTGGTGATTCAGCCCCGCTAGAAATAATACGGGGGAGCGAGCGCGTGTCAGCGCACTCTGGAAGGCGGGAAGGAATTATTTCTGGTAAATTCGCGGCGCTCGTGGCCCGATCGCGTATACGAGGGAGGTCCAAACCCGATGCAACCGAGAGAAACGTCTCGATTCCTCTTGCTCGTCGAGGGAAGCGGAGAGACGGACGTTGGGACATCGTGACGAAGCGGCCAACCGTCTGCTCGCTCCAACTGGCTTCGATTTAAGTGGAATTCCACTTGCTGCAATCTTTCGATGCTCTCTAGTTGAATTATGTTTGTTGTTGTAGTTGGTGAACTGCGAATGTTTTAAAGGAACCAGCCCTGAATAGAATTTAACGGAATTAAAGCAACGAGATTTAGAGAAAGAATCTTATCTTCTGTATATTATAAATACTTTATTTCAGATATTTTCTATACTTTTGTATATTATATTGTTTTCTGTACATTTTTTTTGTATTTCAATGAACGTCAAACCAGTGAATATTCGCAGTTTAGTAATTACAGTATCGATCGTAAAGTCTCATTGTTCTGTAGAAATCTGTTCGTTTCTGGATTTTTATTGGATCTTCTTTTAAAAGAAGAATATACAGTTTCAAGATAGTTCAATTCTGATCTTATTTTGTAATGTTACAACGACTGATTGTAAAATCTCATTGATCGATAGGAGTTTGTTGAGTTTCGAATTTGTATCTAATCTTCTTGGTTTTGTTTGAGAGGAATATCAAATAAAATTTCTTTGTATTATCGTAACCATCGACTGTGAAATTTTGTTAATTGATACAGATGTTTTCAATTTTGAGCTCACGCTCGATCTTCATTTGTTTTATACGAGAAACATGAGAATGTTTAAGACTGTTTAACTTCGATTTTCCGTCGTATTATTCTAATCGCTGATCGATAAGAATCTGTTCGGTTTTAAACTTGTGTTAAAGCGATCAAACTCTTGTATATGTGAGAGATAACGTGAGATAAATTCGAATTAAACAAAAAATGATGTATAAGAGCGAGAGGCCGAATGAAGAGAAAAAAGAAGAAGATACGAAACGGATGAATTAGCGTGAGCGAGGGAAAGAAGAAGGTCAGGGACAACCACGTCTCGCTAAACGTTGATTTTATTTTTATTTTTGTACATGACCACTCCAATCGTCCGTGATTCATCGAATAAATTTTGTGTGTCATCCATTAGATCCTAGTGTGTATCACTGTATCCGTTCTCACATGTATCCGAGAAACGAGACTCGCCACGATAAACAACGCTTTGTCTTGTTCACCACAGGTGAATCATCACCGCTAAAAAAGAAAAGAAGAATCATACTGATCGTTATCTCGTACGAACATGGTACGTGAGTCTCGTGTCTCGAAAAAAATATATGAATCACTAAAACTGGCAAGAAATGTATTTGTAATCGTCCAACAATAGAAACGAAACTCATATTTATACCGAATAAATGATTAATTACGTTCGATAATAAATCAAACTGAACATAAAAAGAATATATCAACGATTCACTGTAACGACCACCGAAGAAAAACGTAAAAACTCTATATATTTCCACCGACGAGTCTGTCACTTCGATCAAGCACCACAAAGATTGTATTATAATCAACCACACGAATTTTATTCAAATTTTCGCACCAACGCTCACCGAGAATTTATCTTTCAAAAAATATATATATCACACTACCTTCGCGACGTTCAACTTCGATAAAAGATCACACGTGTCCAGTTCAATCGCGGCTGCACTTCCATCGAACTAGCATTCGACATTGTCGCAAACAAAGCGATGCAGTCCGATCGAAGGCAGCCAACTGTCAAACACCACGTTGGTCAGCGATTAATCACGAAACTGGTCAGAAAATGTCACCGTTACGCGTATCGTTCGAAGCACCGCTTAAATATCACTTGAATATCACTTAAATGTCACTTGATGTCCCTGCCAAGAGAAATTGACGAAGCGTGGAAACGGAGATTGCCGTAGCAGAATAAGATCCAGAGAAAGACGTTTCGTTCTGGCCAGCTTCATCGTCTCCGGCTTCCAGTGGATGACTATTAAGGCTAGACTAAGCTTGGGGTAGAGATGTGCGTAGTGGCGTCAGACACGAGTTTCCCCACCACGATTCGTCGGCGTCCGACACTGAAAGTATTCGGTGCATGCATCACCGTTGCCCCCTCTACGACGGGTCGCGTTCGGGTTTTTCATTTTGAGTGGGAAACTGTGCGTGCGACCGCCGCCTCCGTTACCTCCTTCTCTAGAATAATGACCCGCCGCCAGGTTATTAGCGAGCTTAGAACGCTAGACGGGGCTTCCGCGTTGCAACTCCTCCGCGCGACGTCCACGTCTACCGCAGGAAGTCGTCGAAGCGATGAACACGATATTTGGTTAAGACGTTGAAGAAAATTTATCGAGTCTTCTCTTCGAGATAGGAATCTTTAAGCAGAAATTTTAGAGAGTCGCGGAGTGTCGCAGCGATTGACGATTGAGGATTTTGAAATGACGAGGAAATTGGGGTTGGGATTGAGACGATGATGGATCGGCGAATTTCGAGGCGATGCTTGGGAATTTAAGATGAAAAATTTGTCAGAGGAAAGTGGAATTTTGAATATTAATAGCTTCGAGGAAATTATGAAGAGATGATCGAACCGTCGACGATAGTTGAGAATTTTGAAACGACGGAGAGATCGACATTGCGATTGAATTGTCGATCGGAGGAATTTTGAAACGATGGTCGATGAATTTGAGATGCAAAATTTATCGGCGAGGAAGGATTTTTTGATATTTCAGAGGAAATCGTTGCGGGATTGCAAATGTTGGGACTGTTGGTCGGAGGATTTTCAAAATGATAGAATTCTCGGTAATTAAAGAGGAATTTTGAACCGATGAGATTTGTTAGAAAGGATTCGAAAAGAGAAGAGAATTAAGAGAAAGGATTAGAAAATTCTTTTTGAAGAATTTTTTAGAGAATCGTCGATGTCGAGATTATTAGTCGGAGAAACTTTGAAATGATAATCAGCAGATTCAAGATAGAAAATTCGTAGGTAAAGACAACGTTTTGTTACTTTTGAAAAAAATTTCTCAAGAAATTGAAATACTTGATCCTATCAATTTTAAATCGATAGACTAAGAATTTGAGATAAGATATTCGTTGACGTAATGAGAAGATTTTTTAATAGTCTGAAGGAAGTCGTCAGAGAATTGCAAATATTAAAACTATCGATAGTAATTAGGAATTTTTGAATAATTCTGACCGACGTTAGGCTGCTTAATCTTGTACCTGTGTCATAAACATTTGACACATAATAATTCGCTATAGATTTGCTTCATGCTTTTGACTTATTGAACTTTAGACTTACATTGTCTGCATCTCATACAAAGTTTATTTGAATCTTCTTTTTCCATTTTATTCTGCGAAGTGTTCATAAGGAATCTCTTCAAATCAAATTTATATTTATTTAAAATAAAACGATTGCAATAATTGATACAAACGAGTTTAAAATGAAAGCCGCTATAAAAAAGGGAATTTTTAATTTGTTACTAAGACTTGAGAAATGTCATTTATCATTGCAATTACAAATTTGATGGAACCGAAAAATTTATTAATAGAACATATTAAACAAATAATAATATGCAAATACGAATAAGGCTGTAATAAAAAAAAACATAAATTAATTAATAATACGCATTCATACTATGGCTTTTACCTTTGTAAATTTATAACTATTTGTACGATCACTTTCCCAAATATTATTTTATTCGATATCGTTTATCCTAAACGATCGGTTAAACTGCAGTCACATCTGTCACGTTTATTATGATTAATTTCTTCGACAAAAGAACCTATCTCCGTTCCTGTCTTATTCCAATTATTCACTTCACGGTTGAGTCCACGATTAACAGAATCGACTTAAAAATATACCTGAAAAAAACAGTGAAACGGCGAAAAAGTTTCATTTGGAATCTGGCTAGTCGATGACGAATCATCTGTTTCATGTCGTGTTTAAAAATAAACTCACGCGAAGTTTAAAGACGAGCGTGTTGCACGCTTTCGTTGATATTACGCTAAAATCCCCCGCTGAGAATGAAAAAGAAATCAAAAGTAAGCAACGTCTGCAGAAGGCGTTTTAACACTCGAGAAATCATTTAATCCTTTTCTCCGAGAAATAACGACCGCATAATTTAACATCTTAATTTTGTACTTAAAAAAAAAGAAAAAAAATTGAGGGAAGAGGAAAACAAAAAGAAAAGACGATTTTCGTAAGAAAACAATCTCGGCAATTTTTTAATAAAATTTATTGAACTATGATGTTAAAGAAACTACGATGTCGTAAATTGTTTCTCGCGTTACGTAAAGAAACCTTGTGTTTACACATTCGAAATGGAAGATCGAGGAATCGGCTGTGATTTATTTTTAAAATAAATCCTGCTTCATCGCGATTATTATTTCACGTCCGAATATTAACAATCCGAATAACTTTGGTTTCCGAAGGACGATCCACTGGCGATCTGCCTTGATTTCTCTTTTGCGAGGTCGACTTGGCCCAACTCCACCGGTCGTCCATCCAAAATTGCGAAACATAAATTTTCAAGTGCATTTACACGCGTTCGAATCCTCGGATGAATATCTATAAAACCACCGGATATTGTCGTGAACGTTTCACGGTATGATTAATTAGACAGGCCATTTATCGTGTTTTGTAAGCAACTCAAATATCGTCACGTATTGTTTATATAATTGCCGTGTAACGAAATATTTATGTTTGTTTACTGCTGAAACATTGTTCGTTTCTTGATTTCCCACGATCAGACACAATACAAAATCTCTCTCTCTCTCTCTCTCTCTCTCTCTCTCTCTCTGTTCATCATTTGCTATAGTCACGAGTAATTATTAAAAATATCTTCGGTTAGGATTGTGTTGTTTTGGCATGTTACTGCCCTGACACACCGCAAATGACGGCACAAATGTTCCTAATATCGAGACACAACGAGAGATCAGATGCCGAGGATAAATTACTTTGGACTGTTTTAACTTACGCATTGTGTTTCATTTGATCTTGGACGTCTTTGAACTTCGTAGAGTATCGAAGATATTTTAACACTTGTCAGTACGAATTAGAGAACTTTATTCCACGTGTGACACATGTCGCGTTTAGATATACGTATAATATATATATAATTATTATTTTATTTTTACTATTTGAAATTACATTCTTGTGCACGGATATCGAAACACATACTTATGGATAGATTTAAGAAGATGAATTTTTAATTTCTTAACGCACATTGTATATGTCTTTCCAATTTACTTTCGAAACCACGAATTGTTTAATTTCAATATAATAATTTATTTGTAACGTGAAAAGATTAAAAGGAATATTTTAAGGTTGAACAATTTTTATGGCATCGCGATTTTTCGAATCTTTAATTTTATCGCCAGAAGGGCGATCTTAGCGTGTTACGAAAAAGAACTGAATTGATCTATAAAAAATTCATCAGGAAGGAAGTCATTTTTATTTTAGAGTGTAATTAGAAATTAAAGCGAAAAGTCTGCATCGTGTGAAAAATCCTTACTCATTATAATAGGATTCCATTTATCTGAGCTTCGTTTACGTGTTATTTAAATGTGAATGCCTATTTTTGAAATGAAAAATTCTAACTATGTTTGAGAATCACAAGAAGTCTGATTATTAAAGTAGAAGTTTGAAAAGTTGCAATAGAATAACTTTATTTTCATATAGGAAAAGAGTTTTTCAACTATTTTTATTAATTATTATTTTAAATAAAAATGAAATTCTTATTATTGTTTTCCAATGATTTTCACAAGAGACCATCCTAAAATCTTCCCTTAATCGCCATTTTGACAATAAATATTCCACCGTATTTAAAAACCTTTATTTCTAGTAGTATTTCTAGAAGCATTCGACCCTGAACTGACTCAGATAAATAGAATTTCATTCTACTGATGTCAAACACCTACTAAACAACAGTAACAATAGCAATGGAATACAAACATAAATTATTCTGCAGCTACCCAAGTACTATCATAGTTGAGCATGCACTAATATCGTTACTACTCACTTAAAACATACATCATCCCACGTACCAGTTGCCAGCTTGTTTTTAGCATGATTCGGAGCTTCCTTCCGTGTGAGCGATGATTCAACGATGTCATCCTGAAACGAGATTTAAAATTACTCTGGCACGTGTACCATTGCAGAGAGAAAAGGAGCGTATTACGAAGTTCCTGCAGAAACGGGACCAGGCGCGAAAACCGGCGTGAAACCATCGATAGGTCTTGGTACGGGCAAGGACATTGTCCTTGAACCGTTACCCTTAGACGAGAATGGATTGCCACTCGAAATACCTTTACAACCAGGGGATGAATCGTTACCTTGGAGAAAGGGGCGAGTTCATCATCGACCTCGACTTGGCGACGTGACGCCATGGCGAAAAGAGAAACCGAAATCTCGTGACACATCTTTGGACAAATTACAAGGGACAGAGTCCCAAGTTAAGCCTTGGACCGAAGAAGCTATAGTATTAAAGAAAACTCCACAGATACCTCGCGAAACACCGAAAGAAAAATTAGAGGAAGTTGAATTAAAACCAGCGAAAATCGAGAAAAAAGAAATTAGAAGAGCTAGCCTGGAAGCTGTTGACTTGAAACATGTTACGAAAGAAGTAACGAAAGATGTGAGAACTGAAGAGAAGATTGCTCGACTGGAAGAGACTACAGCAGAGACTTACATGGAAGAAGAGGACTCTAGATTTATTAAAACCACGAAAAAAGTGGACGAAATTGTTCAAAAGAGAAAGGAAGAAACTAAACCTTGGACCGAAGAGAAGGTTACATTGAAGAAATCGAAACCTGACAGGAAAGAGATTCCTAGAGAGACTATAGAACCTGTGGAACTGAAACCTTCGCGGATCGTTAAGAAGGATATTGAGAAACCTAGCTTGGAAAAAGTAGATCTAAAACCTGTTCCCACAACTGTGACTGAGAAAGTTACTGAAGAAATTATTTCGAAAACTGATTACCTTGAACAGGAAGATACGTCCATGTTGGACGTGTCCAAAACCGAAGAAGTCAGAAAAATAAAGAAGGAGAAGATTGAAGAGAAGGTAGAACAGGCAAAGCCATGGACAGAAGAAAAGATCACCTTGAAGAAATCTAAACCTATAAGGAAAGAAGTTGAGAAAGAAACTATAGAGACTGTGGAACTGAAACCATCCAAGGTGGAGAAACTTCCGATTCGAAAGCCAAGTGTGGAGAAGGTGGACTTGAAGCCTATTCCAACGACAGTGACTGAGAAAGTCACTGAGAAAATCACTGAAAAGACTGAATACCTTGAACAGGAAGACACTTCTTTATTAGACGTATCGAAGACTGAAGAACTGAAGAAATTGAGGAAAGAGAAGATAGAAGAGAAGCCAGAAGGGCCTAAACCTTGGACCGAAGAGAAAGTGACGTTGAAGAAAGCGAAACCTGTGAAGAAAGAGGTTGAAAAGGAAACTATAGAAACGGTAGAGTTGAAACCATCAAAGATTATAAAATCTGCGGTACAAAAAGAAAGTTTGGAAACAGTGGATCTTAAATCAGTCACGAAAGAAATCACAGAGAAGACAGTAAAAGAAGTCGTACACAAAACTGATTACGTAGAACAGGAAGACACGACGTTGCTTGATGTTACCAAAGACACTCGAGTGAAGAAACTCAGAAAAGAGTCGATTTCAACGGAGAAGGTTGAGCAACTTAAACCTTGGACCGATGAGAAGATAACTTTGAAGAGAACTAAACCTGACAAGAAAGAAATACCCAAAGAACAAATAGAGACAGTAGAATTAAAACCATCCAGACCAGAAAAAGGAGAAATTGAGAAACCAAGTCTTGAAGCAGTGGATCTGAAACCAATTCCCAAGAAGGAAGTAAAAGAAGTATCTAAAAAGCCTGAAAGAAAAGACGTGCTCACTGAAGAGGAAGACACGACCCTTCTTCAAGTCTCCAAAGACACAGAAACTACGGTCAAAGTTGATAAACAGGTCAAGAAGATAGAAGAAGTTGAAAAGAAACCGGAAACTAAACCTTGGACTGAGGAGAAAATAACTTTGAAGAAGACTAAAGTTGAGCAAAAAGAAATTCGTAGAGAAAGTCTGGAAGAAGTCACGCTGAAACCGACGAAAACGGAGAAGAGAGAAATTAAGAAGGAAACTTTAGACAAAGTAGATTTGCAGAAGGTGACAGATAAGACACAATTCATCGAAGAAGAAGATACAAAGCTATTAAAGATCGACAAAGAAGAGAAAGTTGAGGAAGAGAAGACAGAAAAAGTAAAAACTTGGAGAAAAGAAAGGAAACCAAAAGAAAAAGCACCATACCAGGAAGAAGAAGATAAAACGATCTTGGATGTGAAGAAAGATATCGAGTCTGAGGAAAAACTGAAAGAAGTGCCAGTTCCTTGGGCCAGAGGTAAAAAGAAACCTACAGAAAAGATTCCTTATCACGAAGAAGAGGATACTACTCTTCTCGACGTCGAAAAGACTGAAAAGACGACTGAAAAACAGGCAAAAGAAGAAGTGCCGGTGCCATGGATACGCGGGAAGAAGCCGAAGGAAGAGAAGCCGGAAGTTCCGCAAAAAGTTCAGCCTGAAGAAGAAGTGCCTGTTCCATGGGTACGAGGAAAGAAGCTGAAGGAAGAGAAGCCGGACGTTCTGCAGAAAGTTCAGCCTGAAGAAGAAGTACCTGTTCCATGGATACGAGGAAAGAAACAGAAGGAAGAGAAGCCAGAAATTCCGCAGAAACTTCATCCAGAAGTTCAACCTGAAGAGAAACCAGAGGAAGAAAAAGAGAAACTGGAAAAGGTCCCATGGCTTCGAGATAAGAAGGTTCCACGGAAGATACCGGAAAGGAAAGAAGAACAGGTTGAAGATATTAGATCAGTTGTATTGAAACCTACCAGACGTGAACGTGTACCAGAAGAACAGGAGAAACCGGAAGAAGTGAAGCTGAAGCCTGTCAAACGCATTCCAATTGAAGAAGAAAAGAAGGAAGAAGTGCAATTGAAACCCATTCCGAAACGAAAGCCCGAAGAAAAGCCGAAAGAAGAGATCAAATTGAAGCCATTCCAAAAACCGAAACCCGAAGAGGAGGAACAAGAGAAACCAGAACTGAAACCACTTGAAAAACTTGAATCTGAGGCCCCAAAAGAAGAGGAAGTGCAGGTAAAACCGATCAAACCAAAAGAAGAAGAAATAAAGGAAATTGAAGAAACGACATGGCATAGAAAAGCGAAACCCAAGAAACCGGTAGTTTCTGAAGAAAAAATAATCGACAAGGAGGAAGAGAAGATTTTAAAGAAAGTAACTGAAGAGAAGGAGATTGTAGATGAAAAGGTAGTCAAGAAAGAGGAAGAAAGCATCGGCGACTTTAAGTCGGTGACCTTAAAACCGGTTAAACGAGGAAAGAAGCCTCAAGAACGTGAAGACGTTGCGAAGGAAATAAAAGAGACCGAAACTGAAGACTTTACAGCTGTTGTATTAAAACCTACGAGAAAAGAAAGGAAGCCAGAAGAAAAGGTAGAAACAGAGGAAGTAACTTTGAAACCGATTCAGAAAATCCCCAAAGAGAAAGAAACACCTGAAGAAATAACGCTCAAACCAATGGAGAAGCCTAAAGCAGTGGAGAATGGAGAAGTTTTGGGAAAGAAGGCTGAATTGCAATGGCAACCTGAAAAGAAACCAGCTAAAAAGATGGTAGCAGAGGAGGAGAAACCAGAAGAATTGACATTGAAACCTGTCAAGCGACTTCCTAAGGAAGAAGTGGAGAAGGAAGAAGTTACTTTGAAACCAATTAAGAAAGAGAAACCAGAAGAACAAAAACCAGAAGTTACGTTAAAACCTGTTAGGCGCCTTCCCAAGCAAGAGGAGGAAAAACCGGAAGAAGTGACGTTGAAACCTGTCAAGCGTCTTCCCAAGGAAGAAGTGGAGAAGGAAGAAGTTACTCTGAAACCAATTAAGAAAGAGAAACCAGAGGAGGAAAAACCAGAAGTTAAATTGAAACCTGTTAGGCGACTTCCCAAGCAAGAGGAGGAAAAGCCGGAAGAAGTGACGTTGAAACCTGTCAAGCGTCTTCCCAAGGAAGAAGTGGAGAAGGAAGAAGTTACTCTGAAACCAATT